CCCTTTGAATTGTTCGCCGCCCTGAGTCCTCCCGGAGAAGGGCGGCATACAAATAATAAAATACCAATACCAATACCATGTTTGCTCACCAGCCATTTTATGTTCTATAATAAAGGTCTTTGCTTATCTATTAAAGCATGTGAATAGAGATTTCCATAGTGGCAATTTTGCTTATATGTTACAAAAGCTTTAATTAAATAGCCATTTAATCTTTTTGATTCTGATCAATTGTGATCTGCTTACTCTGTATTTGCATTTTAGTGGTGTGTAGAAAATTGGCCGAAGGTATTTCTCATATGGGAGCAGACAGAGAGGGCTATAGGATACTAAATTGACATTTAGCCTGAGAAGGGCAATTTGGTATATTATGTATAATTAGGAAAATTAGGATAATTTCCTAATTATTCTATGTATAATTAAGAAAAACACCTGTACGCTAGATGCCATCTCTTCACATGGGTGCTGTCTCTGTCACTATAAATTTGGATTGACACTGCCATTTGCTTTTTAAACAACTGGCATCATTTGACAGTAGAAGAATGACAACCACTGGTGCCACTCCTTAGTTGAAATTGTGATTGGGAATCATGTATCATGCACAATGATTGCAGCAGGTGCCGAGAAGATGAAGTGGGAACAAATGTAGATGAAAGATGTAAGGCAACATAGTTTGCCAATGCAAAAGCTACCAGTGAGAAAGAGAGGATGAGAAGTGGGAGGGAGTAGGGTTGGATACTACAGGTAGTTGGATCAGTAGACTGAAAGATAAAAAATTGGAGCCTATGATAAGGCTAGGAAGCCTTGTTTAGTACACTGATACCTCATTATAAAGCCTTTTCTTTTCAATGAATATAGAGATTGATCTGTGGATCCTGCATATAAAATGTTTACTCTGTTACTGAGATATGGTTCCACTCCTTGATCTAGGCCTATGTTCTTTGGGATTTGAGATACACTGGCTACAAAATTGCCAGGAGAGCTAAAATTATAATGCCATAACTTGTAATGTATAAATTTTAGTTTAAGAAAAATAAGATTTCCAGTTGCCAAATCCTGTGATAGATAGAAGTTTTCAACCTGTCACAGGCAAACTCACACAATACTGGAGTACATTGAGAGCTATCTAGAAATTTTAGCCAATTATTTAGTAAGCCATTCTGGGGACAGACACGTGATGGGCACAGTCTTGACCAAGGACTTTTCATGTCTCAATTCATAGTGGGCCATACCATTCCAGGGAGCAGAGCACAGACAGTGGCCTAGGCTTAGGATGTTACAGCATACCGACTACACCTGAAGACTTCCTCAGCAATGTAGATGAGATGGACACAGGTATGAACAAGAAGTGTATTTTTCTTCTTAACAAAATTATAAACAATAGACTCAGCCAATGACACTTTTATACTTGTCTGAATTATATACTCAATTGCCCAGCTATTGAATAAACGTTACCTTCCAATTTGTTCAAGAACTGCAGTCCCAACATCCCCAGTAAGACTGATATTGCATATGCTTCAGTATGCAACTAAGAAGATCCTGATTTTTAGCCCTCAAGTTTATGTACTGTACATCCCAATTTTCCTCCAATTTTAATCTTACATTGTACTGAAACTGTACTCCCTGAATCTTTTTAGCTTTCTAAAAGTGTCTGCCAGAGTGTGGGTGACCAACCAAGGAATTGTTTTAGATTTGTGGACAGAGTCCCTTTATCCTCTCTTTCCTTTTGAAATTTTAAGTTGTGCACTGTTAAGGTGTATTTCCTAGGTACCTTAGTGAAAAAGACTGCTGCTGGGATTTTTGATAGTTTTTGATAAAACCCTTAGCTTTTTGGACTGAAATCTAGATATGGGTAATGAAGTTTGGGTCAAGTAACCTATGATTTTAGATATTATTACTCAATTAATTTCTTTTTATTTTGCAGGAGAAAATGTAGCGCAGACTTCCATGAATATCAACTCCCAACAGACACGCTTTCCTGACTTCCTTGACTGTCTTCCAGGAACAAACGTTGACCTTGGGACATTAGAGTCTGAAGACCTGATCCCAATTCTTAGTGATGTGGAATCAGTCCTCAACAAAAACGAACCTTTTCTTACCTGGTTGTAACTGATAACCCAACATTTCCTTTCCCTCTAGAATTTAAGGCCAAGCCTCCTCAAGTCCTTCAGCTAACCAGCCTAATCCTTTGCTGACTTTTCCAGCCCCTTTATAGGTCAATGAATCTTGATCAGGATGTCATTGACAATAACTTACATTTGAAATGTACACACATACAAAATACACACATCCCTAGTTTTAAGGAGTAGAATTGCTTATAGATATTAAATGTAAGTTTCTCCTAGATGTGTTTTGAGGACACAAAGGGGTAGGGGTTTTTTTTTGCACCAGGTCTAAACTGAACGGTCATCAGTTACACACAATTAAGTGTATAATTAAGGACATGATGACTGTAAGAAGTTTTAGACTGCAGAAGTTAGGTTGGTTCTGAAAACCTAGCATACACTCAAATAACAGCTCTGTGGTCATATTTAATTGCACCAAATGCTTGTTATTTACAAGAGTTTTAAAAATCATCATTATTTTAAATAAACTCACATTGTAGGGAATACAGCTTTCTTTCTTTTCAATTCCAAGTCAACCAGAGAGCAACTTTTTTTAAAAACCTGTAAAGCACAAACATTACCATTGAGACTTTTTCAGTTGCTACATGGTTTCTAGTAATCAAAAGTGAAATGTTTTAGCTGCTGTTTTTACACTACCACTACATTATAAAATCAACCAGGTTGATACTAATTGCTGCCATTTTTAAACTATATAGAAAATGAAAAAATGCAATTATATATGTTACATTCTTTTTTAATTTCATTTTAAAGAAGTACACTTTATATGTAGCTGTTTTAAAAACTATTTTAAGGTGAATCATAAAAACAATACTTTTTTTGTTGTGTTATACACAAATCAAAAAAATATATCTAGTAAAATCGAATTTCAGAATTCTGGAGAAAAACTCACATTATTGAATACAGTAACAGTTTTGTTGAACCTCATTATATATTTTTTCTTTTTAGCAATATTACATTTTGTTGATCAGATTTTACAAGCTAGAAATAATAGCTTCACTTTATCAGTTAGGTGAAAACCAATATCTCTTGGTCAGTGTAGCAAAAGTACTTAACTTTTTAGCCATTTGCTTTTTAATTCTGGCCTATGAGACAAAAGACTATTGTTGGTGTACTCCTAGCTATATTCCTATAAAGATTATTAAATAGTTGATATCTGGGACTGAGAATGCATCAAGGATTTCAAGTATTCACTTTGCCTGAAATGCAAATGACGTCCTAAGATTAAGTATTTTAAATTGTTTTTATTTATAATCTATGAACATTAAGCTTTTTTATATTGAAAAAAATATCTTTTTATGGAAGGCATTATAATTAATACAGGCCTTTTAATCAGTGATATGCAAACCAAACAAAAAGGTAAAGCACACTGCTAGGCTTCAAGCATACAAATAAACAGTCATCATTGTATTACAGAACTGGCCAGTTCTGTACTTGGTGAAGAGAAAAGGCAGGTGAAATAAATGTTAGTTTGAAGTCAATAAGATAGGTTGAAGAGTGGCTAAGGAGAAAATGCAGATAGCAATGCTGGAGTATTACAAAGTCAATTCTGGGGATTACCCCAGTGAATCAATTAAATGTTGGCGAACACTATTTTGTGGTAGAATTGTTACTTGAAGGTATTTGTTCTGAATGCACCAGGATAGTTTTCTTTTCACAATATTTTAATCATGAGTGATTCAAAAACAAAATCCAATATTTGTGAAGTTTTAATATTTGACCCAGAAAATATTTTGTGTTTGTTTTATAAAGGCAGGGATGGGTAGGCAGACATAAGTAAGTAGATTAGTTTGTTTTAGCAGATTCTTGCACCTACTAAAAATATTTTCCATCAATGGGCATTCTTTCCCTTTTATTTTCATTTCTTTTCATTTTGCTTGCTCACTTAACATATAGGATTAATCATTAAGAGAGCAAGAGATTTGTCTTTAAGCAATGTTATTGCATGTTTTCACTATTTAAAGGTTATCAGCCATGATATGAAAACCAGACACTCCTACGATGTTTACTATTTTAGCTATGTGAACAAGTTTCTTCTTTCTTGATTTTTTTTCTTACCTGCTTAGAAAAACAGGAAGTTATTAATGGCAGATCCAAATCTTACTTTGTTGTATGGCCAGTGCTCTTGTGCTCATCGAGAAACTGCAGAAACACTGCCGTAGATCTCTTGTTCACTCAGCACCAGACTGCTTGGCAATTTTTGGACTTCTGCAGATTTACAGATTACATAGTAATATTCGCTGTGACAGACTGGGCTTCTAGCTGGCAATAGGCTTCAATCAAAGGTAGCTCACTTATTCTAAAAAATTACCAGATCCAATAGTGTATATTAATATTTGAAGTGACATTTCCCACATATTTGTAGCCAACATCGTGTTCCATTTTGTACAACCAAAAACAGCCACCAAAGGAGCTCTTCCAAGTTGTGTAAGTGGTATGATTTACCTCCTTTGAATTGATTTTCCAGAATTAGCCTGCACGAATTAGAATGACTTCAATTTAAAGTGAAAATAGCTTAGAGAAGGAACTAAACTTCACCCAGGCCCCAGCTGGATCTAGGAGTGAGGAATGGGCAGAGAAGCAAAAATTAAAGCATTAGAGCAGAAATTTCAAACCTTTTCTGGTTCACATCCTATTAATTTTAAAAAATTCTCAGAACCCCTAGAAAAAAAATCAAGAGACACTAGTAATTTAAAAAATGGCTCATTTGAGTGTTTCAAGGGACGGGGATTAACCACAGCCTTTGTACACAGAAATAACTCCATTACATCTTCATGGAACACTGAGGGTTCCACAGTTTGAAACACGTTACTGTAGAAAATTGTAGCAAACCGCAAACATCCAAATGACCATTAAATGGTAGCAAGGAAATATGGAAAACACTATATTCGGCTACCATTAAATGATCTATATCTAGGCTTTTCCAATGTAAACCTAGTAAGCCAATAATTTTTATAAATAGAAGAAGGAATTCTGTGCATACTTCCTTGTTAGAAGAGATTGCTAGGGATGCTTGTTATTGCCACACCTGTGATCACTCTGGAATTGAAGTACATAAATGAATGGGGGACACAATGAGAAAATAATACTCATAACCTTATTCCTCACCATGATGAAAGTAAATGCTATAAGCTTAGAGCCATCAGAACAAGGTTTGAAAAATCTAGCTGCCCACTAAAAAAAATCTAGAAGACTAGCTGCCAGCAAAAGAGCTACCGTTTTCTGTATATTTTGTACCAAGTGGATTTTGGGAGCCCAGATCTGGTTAATAGAAATAATGCTGAACCATTCTATGTTGTGGGGGGATGGGGAAGCTGCATTGTAACTAGCAGTATACTTTACGTTTAAGGCTCTCAGTAGTTTCCTAGCCCTACGACTTCTAGTACTCCGTGGGAATCACTTCTGAATAGGTGTGCATAGATACTTTGCCTGACAACTTTACAGCCCTGTAAGTCTTTTGGGATTTGATTTCCAGAATTCAGTCCAATAGGACCAATTAAAATTCAGGGAGTTAGCAGATCCAAGGCTGGTTTTGAACAAGGCAGATAAATCGAGCAAATAAGTTAACCTATGAAGGCATCATGCAGAACAAAGAACAACTAGGACAAAGGAGCCAATCTTGTTTTAAAGTGCCAGAGATATGATTTTTAAGGAATGAAGCATCTAATAGTAGAGATTGGGGGGTGGGGGTGGGAGATGCCAGTCATCACAAAAATGGGGGAAATAAATGAATAAGTCAATTTTATGTTGCAAAGTCCTGCTTTAATTTTTAATCATTTCTTACTGATCTAATAGTTTTTCATAAATTTTCAGTGTAAGACTATGATTTGTGGTATTTAATTACTTCATGGTTTACACTAAATTACATTTGCCAGCAGTAAAAATATATCACAGTGGAGCAATCATGCTGCCATTCAAGGATTTTAGGTTAGTGAAAGGCCCCCTTCAATGCTGACCACATAGAAGTTGTGGGATATGGATAACAGCTTGTAATCTTGAGTGAGGGGAAGTTTTGAGGTCATTGTTTTTCAAACTGCGTTCTAGGGAATTCTGAGCTTTCTTAGAAGTAGGTTAAGAATTCCAATGTCAATTCAAATAAACTTTCATTGAAATGAATTTGCCCTGCTGATGTGCAATGAACATGGTCTCTAGTGGCTATTCCTGAACTAAGACTCAGGAGACTCAGATCCCGGTTCATACTCATTGATGATGTATTTTGAGCATCTAGCTGTGTTCTGTTTGTTAACTGTCCTACACCACAGCGTGGTTGTGATAATTAAAGGAAGGAAAGTGCTATATGCTACCATGAACTCCATGGCAAAATGATGGGATAGAAATGGAGTAGAATAACAAAACATTTCCTGTTGTAATAGGGGCTGTCCTATTGACTGTACTGCGGAGTTTGTTTTAAGTTCATGAAAGGGAAAAGTAAGATCCCACAGGGCTGGACAGTGCCTTGTGTTAATGGTGTGTGCACTTGAAAATTATCCCTCTAAACCACTGGAAGGAGTTAATATGCCAAGTGCAAATGAGTTATTTGAAGGCAGATGTTTAAAAACTGCTGTATTGGACGTTAAATTAACTGAAAATAAAGCATTGGAGAAGCCAATGGTTTTTTTTAAACAGCTGGACAAATTAAATGCTTATTTTTGAGAATGGAAATGGATGGTAAAACCAATATTTCTGTTTTCCTAATACACTACATTCATTTATGTGCTAATACTTTACTACTTTTTTTATTTACATCAGTTTGTTATGCTATATGCCATCTTGTGTGAGCATTTGTTTTCAGTGTAGAATAATTTGCATACATATGTGTATGCTTGAAAATCAGAACAAACAGTTATATCCAGAGTTTGTTTCTTTTTTTAAAACAAAGTATTTCTTTATTATTGTACAAGAAAATAAATAAATAAATAGAAATTGATTTAAACTTCCTGCCCTGTGTGTTGGTTTCACTTATTCCTTGGAAAGAGGGGAAAAAAGACTCTACTGAATAGAGATAAGAGTGTTGCCATTAAAAAGACAATGGGCAGGGTCACATAACACTGGTAAGAACTGGGAGGGAACCCACACTTTTAGTTTACTCCATTAGCATCACAGGAGACAGATTTTATTTTCCTGCACTCCAAGATTACCGCAGATGGGAACTGCAGCCAAGAAATTAAAAGACACTTGCTCCTGGGGAGGATGGCAAATCTAGACAGCATACTAAAAAGCAGAGACATTACCCTGCCAACAAAAGTGCGGATAGTTAAGGCTATGGTTTTTCCAGTTGAAATGTATAGCTGTGAAGGTTGGACCATAAGGAAGGCTGCGCGCCAAAGAATTGAGGCCTTTGAAGCAATGTTCCCTCTAAGCTGCGCACCTGCGCGGCCGCGCAGGT